CTCTCTCTCTCTCTCTCTCTCTCTCTCTCTCTCTCTCTCTGACAAAAAATCTTTGCATATATCAAGTAAAATAAGCGTTAAAATGATCCTTTCTTGTTATATATATATATATATATATATATATATATATTCCCTTTATCTTTTCTTTTATTTTTTATAATTTTTTGTTTCGTAAAATACCTTTTCTCCTTTTTTATAATAACGTTCTTTAGAGAAAGTTGCTTTAAAGGATAACAAATGCATCTCTCTCTCTTGTTAAAATTATTTTTTAAATTAGGGATTATCATTATATTATATATTAAGAGTTCTACAATTTCGCATTTTTTTCTTTAAACATTCTTTCAAATTTGTTGATGTATCTTTCTAAAATATATTGTTCTTGTAATTTTTTTAGTTATATAATTTTTTTAGTTATATAATATTTTTTTAGCTGTACTTAAGGGGAACCGTCTTAGAGCGCATTAAAATCTCTCTCTGTCTCATTCTCTCTTTCTCCCTTTCACATCTGATAATCACACATTTATCGCTATTTATCAACTGCGCACAAATCCGCAAAAACACCCGCTCTCGGATTTAGCACAACCGTTTCGTGGTTACGAATAAAACGCACAGGTAGCTCACAGGGGAGAACGCTTTCGCTTTCGCGCGAGGCTAGTATTTTCTTCCTGCAGCCGTGAATTTTATTCGCTCAACAATCTCAGAGCTGTGCTCAACATTTGCAGCACGGACAACTATGTGAGTAACTATGCGAGTCGCTGTATCGTAATCTTGCCGAACGGACCATCGTGGCTCGTTCAAATCTGCGTGAATCGAAAGTGCGACAAATTCCACTCGTGCTTTCGTACGCTCGCAGTCTCGCGCGGTAATTTGCAAATTAGTGGATCCAACGTCGCTTCGAAAATTTTATCCCGCGTGCTACTAATTCCTTCTCTCTCGTGATTTTTTTCCCACGCGGCGAACGCACCGCCGGAATAAGTAGGAGAATTACAGAATTATAAAAATCTCTTTGGCTGGGCCAAATATATATCGGAGCCGTATAAGCAATCCGCGACCATTACGCTCTTAGAGGCTAAGAGGAAAAAGTTCATAAAGCTGGGCAACGGCGACGCGCTTTGCGAACAACTTCCTCTATCCACAACATTCCAGAAGGTAAACACGCGGAAATGGGGAATGCGCCTCGCCAGGGGTCTCACTTTGCGTTTTCAAAGGAAATTCTCGAGCCATTTTTACCCACGATTCATTCACGAGGCGCGTTTGGCGACATGCCTCTGCACGACCATCCCCATATCTTCATGCCGTCGTGCCGCGGGCGTCTACGGTATTTTGAAGAAACAACACATTTCTTATCGTCGTCGTTATGATTGTGATCGCCGTTGTCGTCGTCTTTTTAACACGTAACGGAACGGACAGGTGCGCGCCCGCTAAACGTAGAGAAAATTACTATTTTTCTCTTGTTCCAACCTTTAGAATGTTTATTCTTTCCCCAGTATTTTTCGAGCAGCAGGAGGAAAAATTACGTTACATGCCCCGTGTATTATCACGAACGTGATAACTAAGCCGGGAAGTTGTGGTTGCACGAGAACGCAGCTATCGTTTTTTCCTTCTTCTTTTTTTTTTCACGTGTATGCTGTAACGCAAGAGTTTACCGGACAAGAATGTAAAGTTTCCTCGGTCAAAGCATGAGCGCATTTACTTATGCCGCATGTGAACCATGTTTTCTTTCTCCATGAAGGAGAAAGAGGAAAAAAGAGAGAAAGAGTGAAGAGAATAATTGCAATCATTTTCTTTGTACGCTCAACGAAACGGCTAGAAGCAACTCGTGGTGGCGGCGGTGACTCGATTATCACGTGCGGAGTGAATCGAAAGAACGGATGTTTGACTTTCGCACCAAGATTAGAGTTCGCTGCTCATCCCTTTTTCGTGACAGTCAGCGGCTCGGCGCATGCATTAGCTAATTTTCATCGCGGTTTATAGTGTCAATTCGCGGTTCACGCGACATGAGTTACACGCATACACGTTAATTAATTAAAATCTGAGGCGACGATGTAAAATGGGAGCGTGATAATACTCGCGGGCAACACCAAACAACAACACAATAACAACAAGATAGCTTTTCCCTCTCGCTACAAATTACACGCTCGCGCGGGTCGAATATTTGCGGGGCCCGTGTACATACACATTATACCATCACGCATGCGCAATCGGAAATTATTAATATCAACACCATCCTGAAAGAGCGTGGTGTCGCATAAGCTCGTTAATTAAAAATCAAAAATAGACTCGTGAGAGAGAGATAGAG